TCGCGTGAATGGACTGGATTTTTATCGACGGGTACGAGGATTGATGACAGCTTAATAGCTATACGTCCACAGATACAAGAAAAGACTAGGACGATGATTTGGCATGGTCATACAGGTTTACGGTTGTAGACCGAGAGAGCTACATCCATACAGCCGTTTACATGGACCGTAGAAAAAAAAAGAATGGGGTGCAAGAGACCGGGGCCGAGGGGGGTGGACATTTAATCTTATAATATCAGATGGTTCCTGGGCATTAATTGCCAGGGCCGTGTTTTTCATTTTTTTTTTCCCCCCCCCCCCCCCCCCCCCAACCCATTCCCTTCCCTCCATTTCTCTTCCTATAAACCTCATCACTTGACACACTCGCATGTACCTGGACTGCAATCATACTGCCCCATGCACACAGTGAAGCCAATCTCCACCTCCTCCCCTACAAGTTCGCCGGACTGGTCGAACATGGCAAGGGATGCCTGACGGAGCATTCAGAGCAAGGGATGAATGGTGTCACAGCGAGACGAAGAAAGATGGGTGAGAAGGGGAAGAGAAGCAACGAGAAGGGGACGATTGGAACAGAGCAGAGCAGAGCAGAGCAGAGCAGAGCAGAGCAGAGCAGAGCAGAGCAGAGCAGAGCAGAGCAGAGCAGAGCAGAGCAGAGCAGAGCAGAGCAGAGCAGAGCAGAGCAGAGCAGAGCAGAGCAGAGCAGAGCAGAGCAGACGACAGGAGGGAGGTGGGAGCGGGGGGCGATGAAAGTGAGCAACAAGGCAACGTGAAAGAATCTCTCACTCGATAGTTCCCATCCTCCACGTCCATCAACTTCACTCCGCACATTCTCTGACCGCATCTCATCACCTAGCAAGCAAAGTCAGAGGAGCCTCCTCGTGCTCAACAGTCCTTACTACCTCCCTACCGTTGACGGACATCTGGACGAAGCCCTTCTTGAGGCCCTGCAGATCGTCACTCCTCCTCTCTCTCTCGTCCTCCTCCTTCCTCCTCCTCCTCCTCCAACCTCTCTCCCCGTCCTCCCCTCGTCCTCTTCCTCCTTGCCCTCCTCTGTCATCTCTAGCCCCTTCATCAATTCAACCGCCTCCAGCCTCCCCCCTCACCTGCTTTCCTCCCTCTCCCCTACACTAGCTAACCCAACCTGCTCTCCTCCCTCTCCCTGCTCCCCCCTTCCCCAGCTGCCCCCCGGCTCACCTCCGGCTCAGAGCCGTCAGGGTTCCATACGTGGAAGTTGTGAACTGCCATGGGCGATCAGCAGAAGCAGTATGAAGAGGCTCATAACCGATGAAGTCAAAGGCGACGTCCGGGCCCTTGACGATGTCGCCGTCCAGTGGTGACCGAAAGAAAGTCGCCGGCCGACCCTGAGGGTAAGAGTCAGACCTGCTGCTGCCGCTGCTGCTGGTGCTGCTGCTGGTGCTGGTGCTGCTGCTGATCCCCCTCGTCCTCGTCCTCGTCCTCGTCCTTGTCCTCGTCCTCGTCCTCGTCCTCGTCCTCGTCCTCTCTCCACCCCATCCCCCCGCTCCCACCTTCGCATTCCTACTACTCAAGTTCAATGCCCTCTCTCTTTCTCTTCCCCCCTTCCCTCCCTTCGGAAGAAACCTTGCGGCCAACGGCGCCTTCCTTTGGGATGGTCGTCGGCAACGTCTGATCCACTGAGATAATTCCTGCTGCAAAGTCAGGAAGATATGAGGAGGAGGAGGAGGAGGAGGAGAGGCGAGAGGAAGGAGCAGAAGCAGCGGGAGCAGAAGGAGGGAGTAGGATGGGGAAGATAGCGGAATTACCGTGGTACAAGCTGCCGGAAGGGAAGAAGTGAGGCTCGGAGAGGTCGAAGGAGAAGGGCTGGTGAGCGTTCAGTGGGGGAGAGTACAAGAGCGAAAGTCACCTGAGCGATGTATCCAGGAGGGAGCTGGTAGGGGCGGGAGGAGGAGGAGGAGGAGGAGGGCGAGTCAGGGGAAGGAAAGGCGAAGATGTTGAGAGAGTCGAGGAGAGTCTCGTGAATCTGAGAGTCGATGCTCTGAATCAGAGGCCGCAAAGCTGACAACAGCTTCTCTGCTCCTGTGAAGCTGATAAGGAGAGATGCTGGGCACAACAGGGGAGGAGAGAAGAGGATGGAGAGGAGATGGGAGACTGGAGCTGGAGCAGGAGTATGAGTAGGAGCAGCACGTGCAGGTGCAGGTGCAGGTGAAGGAGCAGGTGCAGGTGAAGGAGCAGGAGCAGGAGCAGGAGCAGGAGCAGGAGCAGGAGCAGGAGCAGGAGCAGGAGCAGGAGCAGGAGAGGGGGGAAGGAAGGGGGAGGAAAGGCGAATACAGGGGAGGGGAGGGGGAGGAAGGCGAAGAAGTGGGGATTCAGGTGGTACCATGGGAGGTGACTGCGTAGGCGTGAGTGCCAACCGTCTGCTGCGGGCGGAAGAGGAAGCGATTGATCCAGCTGCGCGGCCCCTTGCGGTTGGAGCCAGCGCCAAGGTAGAGGACGTCGGTGTCGAGGTACGAGGGAGCATGTCGCCAGTAGAGCTCGAGGAGGCGAGGAAAGTGAGGAGGAAGGAGGAAGTCGTCCTCCAGGATGAGGGCCCAGCGATAGCCGCTGGTGAGGATGTGCTGGTAGATCTGAGGGGATCGATGAGGAGGAAGGAGGATAGATGGAGGAGAGAGAAGAGCGGAGGAAGGGAGAGAAATAGAGGTGGACAGGGAGGAGGAGGAAGGAGAGGGAGAGGGGGAGGAGGAGTGGAACAGTGGGAGGGGCAGGAGTGCAAGTGGAAGCAGGAGGAGAGGCAGGAGGCCATGCTGCTGCTCTCACCTCCAAGTGCACTAGTGCGCATCCCAACACCGATCGTTTCTCGTCCATTACGAGAGAGTCATGAAGAGGGGACACGGTCCCGTCGTTCAGCAGACCCTCCAGCTGCCGTCAGCTCCGGCGACCCCGCAAACTTCGAGTCACCTGCATGTCTCTCGAGCCAAACTTGGCGCCCTCGACCCCTGGGAATCGTGTTCCTCGAACTGAGAACTTCTTCAGCTGGGCCTGAGTTGGAGGTCAGGCGGCGATATCCCTACCTAGCCCCCGCCCCCTAACTTCGTCCTGCTCCTGCTCCTGCTCCTGCTCCTGCTCCTGCTCCTGCTCCTGCTCCTGCTCCTGCTCCTGCTCCTGCTCCTGCTCCTGCTCCTTACCTGTGCTTCCTCCCATCGTGCTCGGTCGACCTCCGTGTCGTTCATGTTGACCACGAGAATGGCGTCAAAGGTCTCGTCCATGAAGGAGCTCCTGCCGCTCTCGCACGCTCCTCTTGTGTGCCGGTCGCAGGCGCCGTCAACGCACGCGGACGCCCCAGGGCAGTCGCAGTCGTCCCGGCAGCCATGAGGATACAAGCCGAAGGAAGCTCTCTCCTCCTCCTCCTCCCCGATCGACCAGTCGGGTGCCTGCTGGTCGGAAGCAGGCTCTGAACCTGCCGTGGCGTCAAGGGCGGCGGGAGAGGGAGAGGAGGGAGCGCAACCGTCGGGGAAGAGCTCTTTCATTTTCCTGCGAGCTTCGAGAATGTTGTCAGTCAGGATGTGGTTCTCCTCGTATCGCCATCGAGCTCTGCATGCCAAGTCGTGATGCCCACATACCTGCTCTGCTCTTGAGGAGGAAGAGGAAGAAGCACGAGAATCCAGCCCCCCATCCTGCTCCTCCTCCTCTTCCTCCTTCCCCCCTCCTATCTCCTCCTCGTACCCTTCCACATCTTCTACTTCCTCCCTCCCTCCGCGCCTCCCTCTCTCTCGCTCCTGCACGTCGGGCTCGGAGAGGGAAGGCAGGCCGGTCAGCACGAGCGATCGCACGCGCTTCTTCAACGTTTCCTTCATCCTCCTCCACCAGGTCTTCACCTTCTCCCGCAGCGCAGGAGCATCTTCGAGCAGCGACCGCAGCCTCTCGTCCACCCCCGACCAGACGTCTGCGCAGTCGGGGCGGGGGTGAGGTGGGGGGTGGTACCTCGTCGTCCTGGGGACGGAGCAGTTTGTAGGAGGAGGCAGCATAACGAGGGGGTGGTCGTCCCCGAGCAGCCCCGCGAAGTACGCATCCTCCTCCACAACCGGGATGCTCCCGCTCTCCAGCGCCTCGGACAGCCGGAAAGATTCAGGATGCACGAAGCCGCGGGGGCAGAGGGTGAAGGTGGAGGAGGAGAGGAGCTGCCTGTTCAACCAGTCAGCGAGCACAGGAGCCGGGGCAGGTAGGGAGGAAGGGACCTGAACTGTCTCGTGCTAAGGCCGGACGGATCGTTCCAGTAGCTGGTCAGCTTCCAGTATCCTCCCTCAACTCTCCTCGCCGCTCGCATCATCGACTCCCTGGTGGGCTTGTCGTGTGTTTGACCCACGAAGTTCCATACAAACTTCCTGCCCCTGCTCCCGCCCTTCCCTTCCTCCCCTTGGTCGTCAAGCTGATCCACGAACGCGTACCTCGCAGTGAGGTTCGAGTACAGGCTCCCATCCTCCCAGTATCCTTTCTTATACCCCAGGGGGATCGCGAGCGTGTGGGGCAGTCGGGCGAGCTCCTCCTGCAGGTGATTTCTCATGACGTAGTGGACCCAAGGGTAGAAGTAGGAGGAGGCGGAATAATCCTCATCGCTCATGTGCAAGACCCCGATCCGCAGACCCCTCCTCCTTACCTCCAGCAGGTAGCTGGCGAGCACGTCGGGGCTCCTGTTCCTCTCGTCGTTCTGGCTGACAGCGAGCAGGGAGTTGTTTACAAGGATGCTGAACGTCTTGTCGTACACGAGCTTGAAGGCAAGACCAGCTCCGTCAAGAATCTCAGAGATCCAGTCGACCTCCCAGTCAGGACACGTCCAGATTACTGTGAGCTCCTCTCCTCCTCTCACTTCCTGTGCTGCTGACATGGTCGGCAGCTCAGGAAATCCTCCCGCAAAGTTCCAGAGAGGAGGAGGTTTGATCCTGCTAGCGTACACCACCGTGACTACCGTCTCCGTGACAACATCCTGGCTCTCGTCCTGCAGCGACACGGCGATCTCGTGCTCTCCTTCTGGCAGCACTGGCAAGCCAAGGCTGGTCGGCCGCTCGCGCAGTCTTGCGGCAAGTTGGTTGTCGATGTAGACAGCTACAGTCCCATCCTTGGGAACGTCAAAGTGCTGGATGCTTGCGATCAGAACGTCCTGCCATGCAGCGCTGATGACCTGACCCTCGCAAGGGTGGAGGATCTGAACAGCAGGGTACTTCTGCGACTGTGAGGGGGAGGCGAGGGAAACGAGGGAGAGGAGCAGGAGAACGACGACCATCGTGGTTCGAGACACCATCACGTTGTCAAGATGTCATGATAGTCTTGCTCCTGACATGCTCAACTCGGGAACAGAGAGCGAAGAATGTCGTTAAGGGTGTTGTTGTCGAACGCCTAATGTGTCTTGTAAAATCTTCATGAGTTCACCGAGTGAATCATCTTCTTCATGGCGCCTCCTCCCCTCCCTCCCTCCCTCCCTCCCTCCCTTCCTCCATGCATCCTCCTCTGCTCCCTCTGTCCTCCTCCTCCCTCCTCTCCTTCTTGTCTTCGTCTTCCTCCCTACTCCCCTCCCATCAACATGTGCGAGAAGACCGAACATCGGGACACACTCTCCCTCGATCACCCCCACCCCTGATTATATCTTATCACCCCTGCCTGTCCCACATGACCCTTTCTCTCTACCTTATCAAGCATGGATGGACAGAGCGCTGAATGGAGCGAGCTGTTGAGTCAACAACACGACTGCA